ATTAGAGAAACTCTCTAGTTATGAATCGGGTATAGAACAAATGGGCAACACAGTTTTTTTAATCTTAATATATATTCCATTCGTCCCATTTAAATTGTCCACTTTAGGTTAGACACAAAGTTTTAGGTGTTGAATAATTAATAAGTAATTAGAAAGTGTATTAGCATAAATAAGTATGATTTAATAAAAATAATTATATATTAAGACAAATAAATAATTTAATTAAAATAAAAAAATTATAAATTATGTTTTTTAAAATGTGATTAAAGTGTATAATTATATTTCAAAAAAAAATGACAAATTATGTGAGAGGTACGGAAGAAAAATAGACAAATTAAATTGGACGGAGAGAGTAATTATTTGTATTATCTTGTAATTTTTTTTTAATTACTTACTAATTATAATTCTCTTAGGGATTGTTTGGTTCATGAATTAAAATATAATGAATCCATGTTTGGTTATAAAATTGATAATGAAATTTTAAGTGGATGAGATTTTAAAATCCTGCAAATAGAGGATTTTTCAGTAACACTGTACCCCCTGTTACTTTAAAATATCATGTCATTGTATTTTTCATTTTATTATTATACCTTCCCATAAAAAAATCATATTTCTTTTCCTTTTTCATATTAAATGTATATAAATATATATTTATATTTAAATTATATTTTATTGATTTTATAAAATACAATATTATATTTAAGCATATTACTACAAATCATATATTTTATTTATAAAACTGTTATATATATTTAATTCTTTTACTAATGATAATTTAAGTAAATTAATAATTTAAAATATCAATTAATAATTTAAATTTATTTTAATGGTGTATTAATTTTGTATTTTTAGTTTAAATTGTTTTTTTATATTAAATATGAGAAAAAATATCGATAGTATAAAAAATAATTAAATTGTTGTATTTTTTAGTGTATAGATTATATATTACCGTATATATTTTGTATGAACATATATATTATATCTTTTATTATTAATCGAAAATCGTATTAAATTTTTTTTATTAGAATACACTAAATTTAGTAAAGAATAAAGTTTACGGAAAAAAAAAGGATGTAAAGTTTAATTTATTACAATAAATAAAATTCGTGGAAGGATAATTACATCATTTAAAATATCAAAAATCAAAATCCTTGAACCAAACACCCCCAACCAAATACACAGGATAGGGTTTCAAATCTAAATACAATAAATCCTATCGCATATAAATCCTACTACAAAATCTCAATCCCATTAGAAAAGTCCTTGAAAATGAGACCAAAGAAATGAAAATAGTTTCGTTTCTTTTGTTTGTTTAAATTAGAGAAATAGAACTTCAGAAATAAATTATTTATATTTCTCTATTTTTACTTATCTCCTGTATACAGAGAAATGGAGATAAATGATGTTGCAATATATTTTTTAAAATTTTTTCTTTTATCTTTTTTTTACTATTTAATTTTTATAATTTTTTTAAAATTATATTATTTCAATTTTACAAAAATCAAATTTACTTTATTGTTAAAGTATTTAATTTTTTTCGATCTTTTAATAAATTGTACTAAAATATAATCTTAAAACACATCGTATATAATTTATAATTTTTTTTAAAAAAAAAGTCACCAAAAATATTTTTCATGAATTTTCATTCGTTAAAACTTTTTTTTTTTATCTGGTTAATCATTTATTCTTGTTTGAACAATTCATATAATTACATTATTTTTTTTATATTTCTGAACTGAATTCTCTGTTTTACCTAACATATTAATTAATTTTCATTTTCTATTCAATTTCATTTCTCTCCAATTATATTTTTTACTCCAATTTCTCTGGAATTTCATTCTCAATACCAAATCTCCCCTTAATTTTTATATTATAGTAGCCTAACACTTTATGGTTGATGGAAAAAATAAATTTTAAATGATATAATTTTGATTTAAAAATATATATATTTATATTCTTACTAGGGACGCCTAAACAGTTAAAAAAAATAAAATTTATGGAATATTTTTTTAAAAATATATATATTTATATTCTTATATTGTTTTATTTATTTTTTATTTTTCTAAATAGAACCCAAACAAGCTTATATTGTTTTATTTATTTATTTATTTTTCTAAATAGAACCTTATATTGTTTTATTGGGCCCAATCCTATATTTACAATCCATAAAATGAAACAGCCCATTATCTTCTATTGCATGTATATCACTCTTTGCAATACTACAAATCTATTTAAATAAATAATTTATGAGTTAATGATTAATTAAATTAATGGCAAATATTTTATACTTCTTTCTATACCCTACTTGGTATATAAAATATTACATAAAAAATATTTTCTATTTAGTTATAATTCTTTACGTTGTGTTTGTTTGGGAATTTTTAGAAAATTTTCACCATTTTAAGTATTTTTTTTTAAAAAAAATTCAAATCAAATATTTTTTTTCTATATTATATTAATCTTTTACATTCAAATATCATATCAATATATATTTATAATAACAAATAATTACTTAAATTATTGAAATTAAAAATCAAAATTCAAAATTCAAATCCAAACAACCACTTTGAATGAAAGAGCAAAAATCATTTTTGTCTTATTCAATATTACAAATATTAATTTTGGTCTTATTAAAAAAAATTATCAATTTTGGCCCACTCAAACAAAATTTTTCAATTTTAGTCTCAGTAGTCATCCAACACAGCCGTATTCAATCCCAGTGAACCATCTTGAGACTAAAATTGATAAATTTTTATTTGAGTGGGACCAAATTGATAATTTTTTTTAATGGGACCAAAATTGATATTTGTGATATTATTTTTGCTCATGAATGAAAATATATGTACATATAGAATATATATATTAAAATTTTAAAAATATAATAAATAAACAAACTTTCATTTTTAACTAACAAAATTCGATTTAAAAAATATTCAAAACATTAAAAAAATACAGCAAAAGAGACTATAAAATCAACGTAAATCACACCATTTCTAGACATCGTTTGAAGTAAGTTAAGAAATTAATTAAATCAAAATGAAACAGTCAACGAAGGGTGTGTTTGTTTGAAGGATTTTGGAGGATTTCCACTATTCATCCAATTTTTTCTCCCCAAAAACATCAAATCAAACACCTATTTTTTATTTTTTATATTATAATAAAAATCAATTTTACATTCAAAACATCACATCAAACCCTATTTATATCACATCATACAACTATTCAAATTCAAAATTTTTACTATTCAAATCTCAATCCAAAATCCAAACCCCCAAACAAACACACCCGAAATATCAAACATGTTACATAACGACATAAATTTAGTGTGTTTGTCTCGGATTTTGGATTTTGAGTTGGGATTTGAATAAGTAAAAATTTTGAATTTAAATAGTTGTATAATGTGATATAAATAGGTGTTTGAAAAAATTGGATGAATAGTAAAAAAAAATCCAATTCCAGATACAAACACACCCAAAAAAATAATGGCGGAAACTAGTTTCAATCATAGGAGCTCCCAGGACCTCCTTCCATCTCGCCACCGCTTGTTAAATCTGCACCGTTCAGGCGATCAGCAACGGCCAGATTGATCCGACGTTCTGCTCCATGGACCGCCCTCCAAAATTCCAAATTGAAGAATATTCTAAATGCAGCCATAATACAAAGTAAAACAAAAATAATAAGCACTAAAATCAGTCAAAATATAGCCTCTATTTTTAAAATTAGAATTATTATTATTATTATTAGTAATAACGTGAGAATTCCCAGCTATCACCGATTAAGTCCAATAAATATAGATTAAATTTATAATTTACAAACTAGGTTCGATAATTTTATTTTATTTTTTTAATTAGAATTAATGTTGACACTAGTGATCATTAACTAATTACTTATTAGTACAAGCAACACCAAAAATGAAATATTAAAATCCCTTAATAATACTACTATTACATTTTAAAATTTGACCATTTTTTTTTTTCAATAATTCAATACTACTATTTCTTTCATCCAATTTTATGTTAATACATTTATAAAATGTACATTTATTTAATTGCATAGTGAGTACAATTAAAAATATGTCCAATACGTATTTCCATAATTTTATTTAAAATAATAGATTTATTTTATTAATAGTAGTTTGGGGGATTGGATTAGATTTTCACTATTCATTCCATTTTTTCTCTCCAAAAAATCAAATTAAATACCTATTTTTTATTTTTTTATATTATACTAAAAATCAAATTTACATTCAAAACATCACGTCAATACCTATTTATATCACATCATACAATTATTCAAATTTCAAATCAAAATCCAAACCCCCAAACAAACACACCCTAAAGAAATGTATATACTTCTTTCATCCCGTAGAAAAGTTATTTTTTATTTTTTAATATTAGTATTTTATTGTGTTGTAGTGTAAAAGACAAAAATATCCCTAGTATTGTATAATATAAAAGTAATGACATTTGTGTAATATAGTATAGGTTGGAAGCATATTTATTATGTTAGATATGTGGCGGCGGTTATAACGCTGAATTTAAAATTCAGCACCGTGTGCTACAAGACAACCCACGATGTTACCATAAACAACACACGATATACTTTAATATAATACAAATACAACACATAATGTCATAATCTATCAGCACATGATATAGTCTCACACAACACATAAAATACTTGATTTCAGCACATGACATATTCTCATACAACGCACGCTATAATTATGAACTTATAGCACATGCTTTTATTGCAAACAACACATATTGTATATAATAAAGATCGTGTGCTATTTCTGATTTGGAGAATCAGCATGATGCTAATTAATTTTTAAAATTTAGCACCCTAACCTTTCCCTAGATAGCAGTACAATAACTAAATTAAGAAATTGTAACATTATTGTTTTAGGACAGACGAAAATAAAAAATGCCAAACTTTTTAATATTGAGTATATTATTTGTAACAATAATGGACAAAATACATATGTGGACAAATATAATATTTTACATATATGTATATATATCTGTGTGTGTGTGGGAATGAGCAATTAGCTTTAAATTAATTTTTATTTTTGTTAAATTTCGCTATGGGAATGAGCAAAAGGATCAAAATCAGCCCATTCCCGCGGTGCCTTGCAGGCATGTCGTGCGTGTACGCGCCGCCGGAGGGCCAGCGCCGGCGCCCGCACCGCGGCATCAGGGTGGTCCGATCCGACGGCGCCGTGAAGATTTACGACCGTCCGATCAAAGCGTCGGAGCTGATGGAGGGATTCCCTAAGCACATGGCGTGCCGCTCCGACAGCTTCTACATCGGCCGGAAAACCGCCCCCCTCGCCGCCGACGACCCCCTCCTCCCCGGCCACACCTACTTCCTCCTTCCGGCGACCTTCTTCCAGTCCGCTGTCTCCTTCTCCTCCTTCCTCCGGTGCCGATCCTCGGCGGCGGCGGCGGCGCGGTCGCCGGCGTTCGAGGTGGAGAAAACGCCGTCGGGGAGCCTCCGGATAAAGGTCACCGAAGAGATGATTTTCCGGCTGCAGGAGGAGGAGGAAATGGAGGCGGCGGCGGCGGCGAAGGTCGTCAGGATTTGCACGACGGCGCAGCTGCGCAAGGACTATGAGCTGCTGGTGGCGCGGCGGTTCCATTGGAAGCCGAAGCTCGACACCATTGCAGAGAAGAAAAGTCGTCAGAAGAAGAAGACGAAGAAGAAGATAAGTAAGAAGAACAAATCTGAAACACAATAATTATATTATTATTATTATTATTATTTCGAAATTCTGTAGTTTTGATTTTTGAGATAAAATTGTTTATGTGAAAAAATGCAGAAATCATAAAAATTTGAAGCGTCCTTTAGATTGGAATTTTTGGATCATTCGAAAATTTAGAATATAATAAATTGTTTTTTTGAAGTAAACAAATTTTGAAGAAAAAAATTAAATTAAAATACTAGTAAAATTATTCGAATTGACTGTAAAATTTCTTTATAATTTATATATCAATGGAAAATATATACATAAAAAGCATTTGGAAAAACATATATTGAAAAAAATATATTAACATGAATTATGATATCTTCTATAAAAATTTTATTAGGCTTATTTAATTTTAACATAAATCTGTCAAATTTTACTATTTAAATTCTACAATTTTCAAAAATATATATATATTTTTACAAAAATATTTTATTAAATATTCGAATTTAAATAAAAAATTTAAAATTAAATTCAAAGAAACACATAAAAATAAATTATACTACTATTTAGTTTGCAACGCTATCGACAATCAGGCTCACCAAAGGCGACTTATTATTGGCAGGTTATACTTGAAATCACAACTTAATCAACAATTAGCTAGCAATTATTTTTTAAAATTTTTTATTGTTATTTTATTTTAAAATATAATTATTTTATCTTACAAAATTATATTCAAGTCATAATTCAAGCAAAAAAATTCAAACTTACAGCCATAAAAATATTTTTTCATGCCAAACTCACGGCCATGTTTGGTTTAGTGTTTGTTTGATTTGATTTTTTAATAAAATAATTGTTTAATATTTGTAAAACAAAAAACTAGAAGAGATTTTTATTCATAATAATGCATATTGAAAACATAAAAAGCAAACACACCATGCAATTTCTCGTGAAATTTTATTTTTGATTTTACTATTTTAATTCAAAAATTTTACTATTTAAAATTAAAATTTTACGACTAAACATTTTTTTTCAAGAAAAGAAAATACATCATATTATAATTCTACCAAAATTAAAGCTCAAAATTAAAATGTAAAGATAAGTACGACAAGAAAAATATGCAGAAATGATTGGTGAATTTCGAGCAAAATTACAAATGTGTAAAGATATGACAAATCAGCAGTCAAATACAGTCACCTTCTAGATCTATAATAATAATAAATAATAATAATAATAACAATAATATTTATTCAATTTAAATCAAATCAAATATACATATAAATGTAGATATATATATATATATATACACGGTGACGAACCAGCTCTAAAATTCACCAGCTCTAAAATTTAAGGGGAGGAGAAAAATCAATTCATTTTTTTTTTTTCTTTGATTTCTTTCAATGCAATTGAATATAAAAAAGAAAAAGAGAAACAATAGTTAAAAATTAAATTTTTAGAAAAAATTTCAAGAAAATTTAATAAAATTCAATAATTTCTATTAGAAAAATTAAAATTGAAAGCATAAATCAACAAAACTACAAAAATTTTATTTTCTTTTACACTATAACGTAAAAAAAAAATTGAAAAATAGGGGGAACAAAATAATAAAAAAATACATAATTTTATTATTTCTTATACTAAAAAAATCCTATATTTCGGAGGTTGGGGGTCAACTGTCCCCTAGCGCCTATGTAGTTCCGTCTCTGTGAACAGTAAAGGAATTAGCTTTCGGATTTTAAGGGCAAATATTTTTTTCAATTTATTTTATTTTTATTATTATATTTTAATTTTAATATATTTCAAATAGTTAATTTTTAATTTTTTTTATTTGATCAAGTGTTTTGACTTTTTTGTGTCTGAAAAAAATAAATTGTAAAAAAATCAATTTATCCATTCACTTGGACTGATTTTGAATCGCTCTATGTTTTTTAATTCCTCTTGACACTATAGTGGGGATTATTAAAAAGAAAAAAAAATATATAACCGAAAAAGGAAAAAAAAATATATAAAATATATTATAGTAATATTTAAAAATTAGATTATTATATAGTATTGTAAATTAAAATAATAAAATAAAAAATAAAATAGAGGACGAGGTTTGAATTGGGAGGACAAAATTATATAATTAAGTTAAAAAATGAGTATATTTTTTTTGTTAAAAAAAGATAAATGGGCTAGCCCCTTGTCAGTTCCGTCCGTGTATATGAATCACCATAATATTTATTTTGTTATTAATTTTTTTTTTATGCAAACAAAATAAATGTTTTTTTTTTTGTTCGAAAATTTCAATTCCATCTTCTTATAAAAATATAAAAAATAAAACTAAATTTAGAGAGAAAAAAAGAGTAAACATAATAATTGTAATAATAATTAATTAAGGGGCCAAATCACAATACAATATATGTGTAACTGTGGTCATGTGCGCTGCCAACACAGACCCGAGACCCGTAATTAGGCACGTGTGAGAGGTTTATTAGTCCCAAAAAAGAAAATCCAAAATCATTAGTAGTAACGTATGTTGACTCAATAGTAACAGCCGCCATAGCCTGTCATTTAAAAAAATTATAAAAAATTGACTATATAAACATGAGGTTTTTTTTTTTTTTGAAAAGTAATTAAAAAAATTATAAAAAATGGACTAATGAGGTATTTTTTATTTTATTTTATATTAGGTTGAAAAGTAATTAAATACACTATTTTATTTTATCTTTTTATAATGAATTTTTTATAATAAAAATAAAATAATTAATATCTGAATTGATTGGATTAACATACATTGGTTATAGTATGTATTGGGTGAATAATGTTAAGGTTGGATATATAATTGTGTATTTTTGTTGTAATGCAATGGATTTTGCATTAGAAAATTCACTTCATTTATTAGAATTTTGTTTTTGAATGTGTAAAATGGTTTATTACAATATTATTTTTGGATAAAAATTGCACAATTTAGAGTTTTTTTTTTTTTTTTAAATGATGTTTTATTGCTGTGAAATGTATTACGATGCTTATTTATTTTTTGTGTTTATGATTTTATTTTTTATTTTTTTATTTTTTTGTGTAAACTGTAATAGGATTTTGATGTTCAATTTTGAAGCTACAATATATTTTTTACATTGAAAGCAGCTAAAGAAGATAGAGCAGGTCAAAATTGGTTTTTATCATGCATTGAGTATGCGTATGAATTCTCTTATAAACTTTTAGGTCAAATATAAAAATGACCTTCAATCATAAAAGTTTACTTTTTTTTTTTTTTTATCTTTTTCTTTCTTTTCCTTAGTGAAACCGTAATGTGAATCTAATTGTTTGAAAAATATTAGTGTAGATGGAGCAGGACTGAACTTATCATTAATGTGGTGTATATGAATGAATGCTAAGAAATTATTTATAATATTGTTATCTACATGTCTAATTTGTATAAATGAAGTTCATTATGAAAGCTGATATAATTACTTTTTTTATGTCATGAGAAGAGTAGAGAGGATATAAAAAAATGAATTTGTTGTCTTTTTTTGATTGGTTGAAGTCGTTGGTTTCAAGAAATAAATGTAAGCAAATTTTTGTGACATTGGACTATACTTTGATTCTTTTATAGAAATCATATTGTGTTATTATGTTTTTGTACATTGTTTGCTTGTCTGCTTTGCGTTGTTTTATTTCCTCTAATGTTTTGCATTCGATGTTTTTATCAAAATCTGCATCAATTAAATTTTATATTTAGTTGACAAAGTTCTACTAAACAAACAAACAATATTTTTTAGAAATCTATCTCATGCTTCTTTTGTCTCTCTATGCTTGATCCTTAGATTATATATATGGTTTATATGAATTATTGAAGCATATGTGTAGTTCTTCAATAATGTCAAATTAATACATTATATGCATTGATTTGCAGCAAAACATAGCATTACATATTGATCATTACTACACTTATATTCCTAAACTAGGAGATCATTTCAGATTCAATACATACACTTTTTGTTTATTCTTCTATTCTTCTACATAAAATCTAATTATATAATTTCATGTGTGCAGACAAAGCTATACAAAAGGTATTAATAAATACTAGTAATGAACAAATAGTTGAAGAAATGAATTTGAATATTGTGCAAAATATATTTGAAATAGAGTATACAATTTGAAATCATCTTAAATATTGTGTCATATATTTGGTAGTTCCTTATGAATTATTTATGTTGTGTATATGTCAACTTCAGCAGCACAAGTGTGATTGTATCGTCAAAAAATATTTATATTTGAAGTGATGTGTTTAATATGATGACTAGATAGAGTAGACATAAAATCACTTGAGAGTTTGTGGTAATGTAAATGCTGCAATCTTTATTGTTGGATCTTCTTTATTCAATTTTAATAAGGTGGTATGAGAATTCTCTTGTCATGCGGAGGTTTAAGTGTTTCTTTCTGATTATTGCTTAATATATGAGAACTTGGGGTGTATATTTATTGACGAATGTATAGTACATTTGATTGGTTTTGCGGTGTGTATTTGTTGACAAATGTCATGGAGGCTAACTGATAATGTTATTAAAGGGCATTTTAAAATAAAAATAAAATAATAACATTCAATAACGTTTATTAAATTCATGAAAAATATACAAAGTATTATATAGATTATAACATTAATGCTGCAATTTAAGTCACACACATGTATATATATATGCTTGGTTTAGTAAATTTATACTATTATATAGAGTATATTACATATGAAATGAAATCCTATAAAAGAACAATCAAATGGAACAATTACATTTGTAAGTGGTGAGTGATGATTACTATCAATTCGACATAATTTATAGAAAATTCAAAAAGAAACAATCAATCTGCACGATAAGTAAGATCTTAGGTTACGATATTAAACTGCATTACTAGAAACTCCATTTGGCGCAAAACAGAACAACACAAAACAGTCAGCAATTTTGTATTCTGAGGCAAACAATACTAAATAATGAAAATTAAGCAAACATCGTAAACAACAACAATACAATTAAACCTATAGTCCGACATTTTTAAAACTCATACTTCAAGAAGTCATTCAATCCCCTAATCTATTAAATAAATTTACTAGGGGACGGTTCACTCGATTTGGGCAGTCACACATAATAATGTATTATGTAAATAATTTGTGATTTTTTTTCATTTCTTGAG